TAGATAAAAATAATTATGAAATGTCAACTATTCTTATTCTCTATAATAAATCTTAATTTATTCTTTCTGATTTACTAGAAAATGAGAATATCACCATGTGTAGGCACCCAGATATCCTGAAGAGCTACAATATCAAAACAGTACCTCATAAGGCTGAATGCATCTCAAAATTTCCTTCACGTATAACTGAAGATCTTTATATTCACTTTCAGTCCATTAGCAATTCAACATTTAACAACTCTTTGAACAACTTAACAAAAAATTCAGGTAATGTACTGGTTCCGAATATTTTTATTCTTTTTTATTCGTGCTCACGGGGCTATTTAGAACTGAATATTAATATTGCTAAAAGTGTCATTCTAAATAAACTGAGGTATTTCTCATTATCTTTCTCCATTTTAAATTTCTGTAAGCAACATAAAAGAACAATTCCTTATCTCAACAAAAGATTTACAAAATACTGGGCTCCTCTGCTAGTTACCAAATACCATTGTGCAAATTATTTAACTTCTCTGAGCCTTCATTTTAACTAGTCAAGTCACAAATCTTAACGAATATGAATCAATAATGGTCTAGGTAAATAAGTAACAATGACTGCAAAGACGGGTACTCATTTTGAAAACAGGTACCCTTTCACCACACTACAAAATATCATTTATTTAGTGTAGCTTTAGTTACTTTTGCCTAAAGAAAACTATAATGTATCTTCATTTCTAATGCTAATATTGGTGAGTATTAGGGCATGTGATTATTTTATTTTTGTCAATTTAACAAATTCGACCTCTCTCTCTCTCTCTCTCTCATTATTCCATTTAAGAACATGAACTTCTTGGGAAAAGTTGGGCTTTTCTTGTTGGTGTTGTTGTCACTGCACTGATGACTTCACTCCTCATCTTTACTGCTATCAAATGCCCAATATGGTATAATTTCCTGCTTAGTTACAATCATCATCGCCTAGAAGAGCATGAAGTAGAAACCTATGACAATGGTTTTCCTGGAAATCCAAGTTCTCTTTCACAGATACCAGCTATAAACTCTGAAGACACGGTAATATTTGAACAATTACATTCATTTGTTGCGGATGATGATGGGTTTATTGAAGACAAATATATAGATACCCATGAATTATGTGAAGAAAATTAATTTCTTTTGATGTTTAATTTAAAAAAACGTTATCAGTCTATTCATAGTTTAGACATGGAGATTCTCATATGTGACATACCAAACTATAGCTAGTAGACCTTCAGCAATTACAACATACATAAATATCATAAAATTATGTTTTTCTCATTGTATTGAGTAGGTCCAAATACAGTAGCTGACACTCCTTGGTAGCTAACAGTTACATAGTTAGTCCACAATAGTAGCACTACTATTCTGAACAGGATTCGGGAAACCATATAGACTAGTAAGAAGAAGCTCTACAGTCAATTATTCATTAATTAAAATGAATGGATTCTCATATTAACACAGATATTTGATATAATATGTATTAAGTTATACTGAGGGTCCAAATAGTAAAGAAATAAAGGTTTTGGATTTATATTATGAATCAAAGTGAAGAACAGAGCCTAAACAACATACTAAGATTGATTTTATGCTCACAGAGTGAATCCATAGAGTTGGAAAATATGTTTTTAAATGCTTCCTGAATTTGAAAATAAATTTTGTTAAAGTTTAGTAGCAATTTAAAGCATAGGCACAATGTTCAGGCATAATCCCTAGTAAGTTACTACTGATTTGGGTTATAAAGAAAGGCTATCACCATAATGCGGGATGGCCACAATTTAGTACCATGGTGGCTTCCAAAGTGGGCATCGCAATTATCTGTGAATCTTGTTTTTAAAAATATACATTTCTGCCTCTCTCCGGGAGATTTTTATTCAAATGGGTCTGTGCTGGGGCTCAGGAATCTTCAGGTGGTCCACAAACAGCTGTTTCTATCTATCCAGCAGATAGAATAATGTTTCCCAAATTGTTTTCTAGAATACTAATTTCCAGAAAGACATTCAGAAGTATTTACAGGAAAAGAAAAGGGTACATGGTCAAATTACTATAGGAAACACTGGGTTTAAACAAAGTGAAACAAGATTTTTTTACTACAAGACTTACCTAAGACTTTACTAAACTGCTCTCTGATTATTTAAGAACAAAGTATTAAGAATTTTCAAATTTACTGGCCAACAAAACCCATTCTTTGAGGTACATCTACTAAGGGCTCATAGCACAATAATAGTCCAAACAACACAGTTTGGAAAACACTGGCCTGGAGAACGTAATAAGAAAGGTCTTATTATTAATAGGAAATGAATTATTTGTCTATTCCTTATAGTCAATTGGCTACAATTATAATTTTAACAACTTATTAATGCAAACAGTGGCATTAAAAACTGGAGCAAACTCTTTAATTTTTACCTTCCATAGCTGGGGAAATTAAGTGTATTTATATCTTTCAGAGATAAGTATATTTACAAAACACTGAAATATATTTATGGACGAAGTAATATTTCTGGGATTTTCTTCAACATAATACATGGCTTGAGATGCGGATGGAGCAGGGTTGTATATGAGCAGATGCAGCTAGGAGATGGGTACGTAAGGGTATAATACACTATTCTTATCTACATTCAAATTTCTCTCTAATAAAGTTTTTAAAATGTGTACATACTTGATAATTTCTTAGAAAAAAGAGACTAAAATCATGTATATCTATGTCACAGTCTGCAGAATAGTCATTTTAAAAGTTACATAAATAGTCAATTCAATACAAATGTCTACTTAGGGAAAATAAAAACTGTTTAGGATGATATACCTGTCAAATAGAAGAACTGACTCATTTATAATACCTATTTGCTTGTGTTTATAGAAACATTTTCAATAAAGAACATAAAT